ATGACAAACTTACCCTCAGCGACGACACGTACGCCGCTATCCAACTCCTCCCTGGAGCCGAATACTCTAGAGACCAGGCCCAGATCCTTAGCCTCTGAACTCGAAAAGGTCCGACCCGTAAGCGCTAATTCAAGCGCGTTACCATACCCGACGATGCTGGGTAGCCTCTGAAGCGTCCCGAGGTCCGCCGTGATCGCCAAGTCCACCTCTTTCACCGAAAAGAACGCGTCCTTGCTGCAATACCTTATGTCACAGGCGGTCACGATATCAACACCGCCACCGATGCACGCCCCGTGGATTGATGCGACCACGGGCTTCCGGCACCGCTCGATCGCCGTGATCGCCTCCTGCAGTTCCTTGATTTCTCTACGGAACTTCTCTCCGGCACGGCCTCGGTCTCCGGAGACGAACTGGTCGGAGATCGATGTTAGGGTTTTGAGGTCGATTCCGGCGCAGAAGTGGTTGCCGGCGCCGCTGAGAACGATGACGTTGACGTCTGGGTTTTGGTCGAGGGACGAGAGGGCTCTGGGGAATTCGGTGAAGAAGTCGCGCGATAGAGCGTTTCGATGGTTTGGGCGATTCAGGTAAAGGTAGAAGACGGCTGAGTTTGGGTTTTCTTGAACAATTTCTAGGGTTGTGTAGTTGGCCATTTTTGTTTGTCAATACACTAGCTAAAGATTGAGAATTGAGAAGAGAGAGAGAGAGAGAGAGATAGAGAGAGAGAGGGGGAAGGAAATGAAGCTAAATCAACAGAATTAAGTGATCCCGATTCAAGATGGGAAACGATAATTTTAAGAGAAAAAGATGAAAATTAAATTTTGACAAAAAAGAGGTCCTACCGGGAGTCGAACCCAGGTCGCTGGATTCAAAGTCCAGAGTGCTAACCACTACACCATAGAACCATCTTGTAAGAAAACGTGCTTTATTTGTTTTTATAACAATGTACATCACACATTGCCAATTGTGTCCGAAAGTTGTAATATGTATTGAATTACTTCATGTTAAATTAGGGAGTGAGAAAAAAACCGCTCCAACGGTTCAAACCGGCAAATTCAAACTAATTCGAGTAGTGTAATTCAATTTTAATAATACTAAGAGTTTGTTTGGGAACATTTCTGCACTTCTATTCGTAAGCGTTTTTATTAGAATACGTAAATTTATTTATATAAAATCTAATGAAGCACTTGCAAGTGGTTTATGAGTGATACGCTTTTATGATCAGAAGCACTTATAAGTTTTATGCCAAACGCTATTAGAACAACATTTGGTTGTTAGGAACCGCTTTAGCCCTTTAGAAACACTTCCCAACATAATACCCTAAACAAGTGTAATTTTGGAATGAATGAACCAAATCAAAATTAGTTTTGTTCAGTTTGGTATATATCAAAGCGCTTTAATTGAACCGAACCAAATTGTACTGTTACTTCTTGGTATTTGGTAATCGAGATAAATAACTAAGGAAAACATTCTAAACCACCAAATCGCTCAATGGTGGGTTGGTTTGGTTTGTTTTTCCTCTTTAATTTAGCTCAAAACGAACCAAACACACCGTTCAATGATTGATTGGTTTGATTGTAGTTTGGTAGTAAAACTGATCAAAATCAAACTGTTAAGCAAGCTATATTTTCTTAATCACATTTTAATACCACATGTATGTCAAGTGATTTGTATATATCATGTCAATGAATAATTTTATATCACAAAAAGTTAGTTGTTGCTACGTCATGTGGTATTAAAATGTGATTGAAAATCTTGGTACTCTTTCCAAATCTCGCTATCTCTCTTTTTATTATTTTGCCCAACTCACAATATTCCCCTCTCTTATGGGATGAACAATTAGGCGAACAAAATTGAAGGAAAATAAGAATATAACGATTTAGGCACTACTTTTGCATTTCTAAACTCAAAGTCAACAAAAATGATTTAAATTAGTTAGGTGGCCTCGTTTGAAAATTTGGAGTCGGACCTCATCTTACGTTGGACCCAGTCATGAATTGAAAAAGGAGAGCTACCAAAAAAGAGTATATTATGTGCCATGCACGTAATCCCAGTATTGAGGACTCAGATATTTACATTAAACAGATTAGGGCGCAAAGAAGACCTCCTGCTTGCACTGCACGTAATCAAATAATTTCAACATCTTTAGAGGACAGGCTTTTGTGATTTGAATCTAATGTTGTTGGGCACACACAGCTACAAAAAGGAAATATATACATATTTATCAATTTGACCCCAACATGATCAAAAGCGCTCCGCCCTCTTCCTTCCCATTCCTATTCCTCAAGATTATCTCATTCGTCATGGTGTACCCCTGCCTTATCTCTTTGGTTTGCTATGACATGCCGAACTGACTCCCACCAATATAGCACGAAATGAAGGCAACGCCATCGCCACTAATCTAAGATATATTTGACTGAAAATCAGAAATGAAATGTCATAAACGCATCGTTTCAATGACAAGAGACTAAGGCCTCGTTTGATTGCTAGGATCAGATTGGAATGAATAATACTCTAAAATTGAATGAAGAAATGAAGACATTTGGTCCAATCATGAGGCTTCTCATCGATCAACCACAATTAACTAATTAATTAATTAATTAATTAATTAGTCATTAGTAATCGTGACGAATCATGATCATCCAAGAGTTCTATCCTAATCATCTATCATGATGAAGCTTTTTAATTCCTTCATAAAAATTCAACCCCAAAAGCTATACTCATATAGGAGGTGGCTCTCCTATTTCACCTCCTATCATTGAAAAATTTACCACCCTACAACTACTTAATTTCAAGTAGGGTGTAGGTGGAGTTATAATTAGATTTTTAATCCCCTTTTTTTGGTTCAGAGAAAAGGTTGACTTCATTTCAAGGTCGACAATGCATGAAGAAGAAAAATCATGGGAATATTCTTCATGTTTGTCAATATATGCACATGTAAGCATTCTCTTTTTCATACAAATGGCAGCTTTAATTTTATTGATGAGATCGATAACTAATCATTCACGAATGACGAATCATAGCTTTTTTTTTTTTTTTTTCCTTTCTTTTTTGAATTCATGAGATGATGATAAGGCAAAATTTCATATGGTGGGCGATAAATGCCAACAAACATGCATTATACTTTGAGATATATGGTGAGCGAGCCAGCTGCTAGTATATAAAAACGTTGTCATATTTGATTGCTTAACAATACTGGTGGCAACGCATGAATGAATGTGTCTATATCACTGCATTATTGGTGTCTCATGATCATGATCATGAGATAAAAAGGCCAAATCATATCAGGAGGCAAGGACTATTACGTCATAAAGCCACCACACTCACCTTAACATTTGGCTTTTAGGAGATAGAAAGAAACTTCTCCTTTTCATATCCTTTAGCATGCTATATTGTCAAACGACTCCGATTTTCGTAGACCTCAATTAATTAGGTTTTTATTTGAAAATATAGTTCAAAATTGAGATATTCACGTAATTAACTTGCTTATTATTCTAATTATGTACTAAGTCCTTTTAGATACGGATATGTGTACTGACACGTAATTTGATAAACAAGTTTACCGACGATAATATTACTAAAAAGGATAAAGCATATACACAATTTATATATTTATTCTAGGAGAAGAAAACATGGCAATCAAATCACATATATATTCACGTCCTATAATAAACCAGCTGGTACATATCTGTGTCCAATGGCTCCCATCCACCAAGCAAATAATAGAGGCAAGAATGAAACAACAACATCATAATTTAATATTTTTGTCTTAACTTAAAACCTCCCTCCCTCTCATAACCGCAAACAATATGAAAGAGCTGGGCAGCCCTTGGAAATTTGATTACTTGAAGAGGAAAAAAGTCATGCACACTGACACTGAGATCCCCGATGCACACGAAACCTGGTTAATTGCATGAACAGTGAAGAAGCTACCCCCGCTACCAAACAAACATCAACGGCCTGGATCAAAAGCTTTGCAAAACAACATTGTCATTTGTGTGTGACTTGTGAGAAATATACAAATGACAACTAGGGCTGACGCGGCAAGGCGTGTTTCGTTAATGCCTCAGAATAAATGGAGAAACGGCTCTCAAAGGCAGAGGAAGGCACTCTGTTTGGAAATGGAGAGATGAGATAGGTCACGTGAATGGTATAGCTCTAGCTTTTGCGCTATGAGAAGGAAAGTAACGTGGAAAATCATTTTCCTCTTTTAGCAAAGCCACTAATTAAGTTTAACTACTCTTTCTCAACGAGCGTGGGATTCATGTTATGGTAAAATTAATAGCCCCTCTAAACTTAATTAATAAACAACCAAACACTTGAACTTTAAAATTATCTCTTTTTATAGACGTGGGTTAGGCCAGTTGGTTAGGGTAATGAGTCCTTCACTTTGCACCTTAGTTCCGGTACTCCTCTCCCTAAATTATATTAATTTAGAGTAATTTAAATTGTCGCTTATATTAAAAAAGAATTATCTCTTCCTAATTCATTTTAGGGTGATATTAATCAACAATTACAATAGGGGGGTGATCCTAATTCCTATCAAAAGTGCATAGCTAGTGTGGTGAGTGCTAGCTCTATTGCCACGCGATGAGGTGGGGCACTTGGGGCTTGTATTTGTGGTTCAGTGAATGAGTTTGTGGTACACCACCTACTAATCCTCCATCTGTCATGCAACCAGAATGAATTCAATACGCACACCCCTTACTTATTTCTCCTTTCCCCTTTTTTCTTTTTTCTTTTCTTCTTTCCCACTTTATGTGTGTATATAAACAAAGCTGCGCAAACCCATTAACCATCCTCCTTACCACTCACTACTTCTCCATTCATTTTCTCTCTCTGCATGAGAATTGAGAATTGAGAATTGAGAATTGAGCGAGGGAGAGAGAGGAAGAGAGAGCTCTAGGTTTACTCATATCTTCACCAACTGAGTCTAAGCTTCTTCTTCTATCCTTTTAGTTTTCATTTTGTGAGAGAGAGAATTTCACTTTGAGTTTGCTATCATGGGTGCACTAGCAGACAGCCACCATCCTTGGGCATTCACGTTTGGTATCCTAGGTAAACAAACATGCATTATACTTTGAGATATATATTTATTTTGACAAAAGCCATATGTCTAATGCACGAGAAGGGGAATTTAGACTGCCTTGGCCAATTGGTATGATCTGGATCTTCATTCTTTGAGATATATAACGTCTTCCATCAGCTCTCAGTGTCTTGGAAACTGGGTTATAGCTAGCTTAGCTACACTAACTTAATTAGCTGGGTGTACCAAATTAATGAGCAAGACAAAAATATGATGCATGCGTCATATATATATTTTTTGAGTGTCACACACACTTGTTTGTTATTGTTATATTCTTCTCGGTTATGAGTCATCTTTTTTCTTCTAGTTCATTTACGGGTAAGTTTTTATATTTAAGTAACATTGTAAAGCAGTGTTATCTTGGATGATCAACCTTTCCTCATCACTTATAATTAAACCCTTTTTTTTTCTTTTTCTTTCTTTTATTGTAATCTTGGTTAGTTTAGAAATTCCATTTGAATGACCACACTTACATAAATATCTAACAATTTACAAAGAAATGACCGGTTGATTTAATTTCTTTTGATGACAGGAAATGTAATCTCGTTCATGGTTTACCTAGCCCCAGTGTAAGTGACACATACACATATATATTTATTTATTTATTTAAAAAGGGATACACACAGAGTTATATTGATTTAAATATCTTTCTTATTTTTTGGTGGTTGTTGTAGGCCCACATTTTATGGAATTTACAAGAAAAAATCAACTCAAGGTTTCCAATCGGTGCCATATCTGGTAGCATTGTTCAGTGGGATGCTTTGGTTCTACTATGCGTTGCTGAAAAAGAATGCTATGCTTCTCATCACCATTAACTCCTTCGGAACTGTAATAGAAACTATCTACATCGTCATGTTCATTTTTTATGCACCAAAGGATGCCAGGGTACGACACTTAATCATTTATTTCATTTGCTTTACGTAACTTAACGTAACGTAACGGTAATTAATGTCTTAATTAATTAGGTTCTGATTCAACAAATATTATTTTTGTTTGTGGCAGAAATTCACCCTGAAACTATTTGGTTTTATGAACGTGGGGCTCTTCTGCTCGATCCTTGTCCTTTCACACTTTGCTGTGAGAAGTGAATACCGGGTCCCAGTTCTTGGCTGGATCAATGTCGCCATTTCTGTCATTGTTTTTGCTGCCCCCTTAAGTATTGTGGTAATTTTACTTAATTTAAATATCAATCCCATATAAATTAGAATTACTCTCTTTTAATTTATTAATTTAGTTATATATAAATTGCAGGCACAGGTCATCCGAACAAGGAGTGTGGAATTCATGCCATTTAGCTTATCATTTTTCCTTACATTGAGTGCCGTAATGTGGTTTTCCTATGGTCTTTTCCTCAAGGACATTTGTATTGCAGTGAGTAGACATAATTTACTTTCCATTTATATTATTCACTTAATTAATTATTTTTTAATGATCATTTTCCTCTGTGATTTTTTTGTTTGTAGATTCCAAACGTGTTGGGTTTTATTCTGGGGTTACTTCAGATGCTGCTCTATGCCATCTACAGAAACCGCAAACAGGTGATCATAGAAGATGATGAGAAAAAGATACCAGCTGCTGCTGCTGCTGATCAGCACGTGAAAAACGTTGTCGGTTTAACCACATTAGCAACTTCCGAGGTTCATCCGCTGGATCCTCCTCCGCATGACCACGACAAGAGCGTGGAGGTGGATTCAGGCTCTCACACTGCTGCAGCATCGTGTGCATAATTATATATATACAAGTCATGATGAATCCGGCGTCGTTTGATGTGTGTGAGTAGTAGTGCAGGTAGCGCCCGCTCCAGGCCAAGACTGCGTGTCGTTTCACATGTGCTTTGGTTAATGTTTGTCTCTGCTAAATGCTAATTAATTCGCTGTGTCCATGCGTGGAACTGTGGGCAGTGCTATCGATGTATTAAGAAGTAACTGAGGAGGGTGGGAAGAAAGCTACAACTATACCGTACGCTTGGCTTGGCTTCAATTCTACTCAGTATTATTATCATAATTATATTATTAATAATAATAATACTTAATTGTAATATGAGAGTATGCCTATGAATCTATGATCAAGTTATTAACCAGAAATTTGACTTGATAAGTGAATTAATTACCACATGCCGTATAATGTGATGTGATGCATTGGCTAATGTGGTCCGTCTAAAATGTCATTGTCATCCTTCTAGAATTACTCTAATTAATATAACATGTGTGAGATTAATGGTGCATCACTCACTCTGGCCCTCGAATGGAATAGCCTCACATCCCCTTAAACTTTCGTTTCATAAAAAATAAATAAAAAAATTAATGTTGCATCCCCTTCTCTCTCATTCATGGCCCTGGCTAGCTATATATCACACAACGGCTATGACGTACTGCCATGGACATTAACCACATCTTAGTATCAAGGATTGTCAAAATTCGAACTTGAGAGTTCTTTCAATATCGAGAAGAGATAATTGTACATTCTATTCTACACTTTAATTTTTTTGGAAGTTCAATTAAAAAGGAACATGAAAAGATAAGTTTTAACCGCGGCGAAGAGCAATACTTTAATAAGGATAAGAGAGGCAGGAAAGAAGAATAAAGTGCAAATTAATCCGGTTTCTTTGGGACATAAAGTAATTTAACACATGCACGGACGCATCACCAAAGAAACATGTAAAATACTCGATAAAACTCTGGTTGAAAAAGACTGGAATGCAGGGACAAACCACAGATATTTATTTATTTATTTGTTTAAAAAACACTAAGAGCACAAGAGACAGAAGAATCATATAGCATTACCCAGACGTGTCTACTCTCAAAAATTTTAAATACGTCCTGTTTCTTCTGTTCTCATTCTCCTAGAAGATAATGTACAATTTCCATTTATGGGTTCCTTCTTCTTCTTCATGTTTGGATAAGAGGAAAGGAAAATAAAAATGGTTAAACTAGAAAACATGTTGGTCTGCTGAGAAAGGAGGCAAGGAACTAATGACAAAGACGGTGCCTTGTACAATATGGCACTACAAATTAGTGCCATCAAAACTGCCTTGTGCACTCTGTCGTCTTTTCTCTCGCCAATTCTCTCCCCACATCTTGGCCTCAGCAACAGCTCGTTCTCTATCCAAATCCCGGTTTAGCATCCTCGCGGTTTCCTTCGGGGAATCGTCCTTCTCAGAACCATCTAAATCCCATCTGCGTCCAGATCCTCCCCCTTCCTCATTCTTCAATATCCTTCCACCTCTCTCATCTCTGTGTCTTCTCTCATCCTTTTCTCCAGATCCTCTGTGGCCATGCCCTGAAGCCATGTTAGGGTCATATGACTGGTTGGCTAGGTAAGACAGAGCAGTGACCACATCCCCAATGAGAGGCCGTGTGGCAGCCTGTTCCTGGATGCACATGGATGCCACAGCTAGAGCTTGGTAGAGACCCCGCATTGGATACCGACCCTGCAGTCTTGGATCTGCCAATTTTGAAAACTTCCTTCGATCATTGAACAACGGACGTGCCTGCATAGACATAAAACCACTGCCGTTCAGTTATTTTCACCAACACAGAAACCATGCTTGGCAGCCCCACAGAGCCTGCACAACAAGAAGATAAGTTTCAGGCAATTATGCTAAGTATGTAAAAATTACCCATGTGATAAGGTTCTGTTCTCCATGGGGCCGGTTGCTATCAATGGACTTACGTCCAGTAATCAGCTCCAGAAAGACTACCCCAAAACTGTAGACGTCAGACTTTACTGTCAATTGTCCAGTCATTGCATACTCGGGAGCACAATAACCATAAGTGCCCATCACCCTGGTCGACACATGTGACTTGTCTTCGGTGGGACCAAGCTTTGCAAGCCCAAAATCTGAAAGCTTTGGGTGAAATCCTTCTTCCAGCAATATGTTGGATGATTTGAAGTCCCTGTAAATAACTGGAGGGTTTGCCTTGTCATGCAGGTATTCCAATCCTTTGGCTGCACCAGAAGCTATTTTCATTCTTGTGTTCCAGTCCAATGGTTCCCTATCAGGTGGAAGATCTGCACAGGAATCAACATACTATTATAGGTGATTCATTCAAATCGTTTGGATACAATTCTGTTAGATTATTTGCATCTTTTAAATCAACATAAGGAAATCACCATAAGCAATATAAACAAATGTTCTTCTTTTTCCTTCTATTTTTTGACTGAGACGACATTTGATAAAAGAAAATACTTATATTTCTGTATGCAATACTTTAAACTTCACCACTCATTCCAACATTGTAAATATTCACTCATTTTTTTCCTTTTTAGAAAAAGAAACCGTTGAAAAAGCACTTCCACATAGCATGCAGCACATGTATTTGCCATATTTGCAGAGCAGAACTGTTGAATGTCTAAATAATTGAACACCATAAGGTGAATCCATGACCACTATTCACTAGTTGACATTAATGAAACAGAAATTAGAAAGTAAAAAGTTCATAATGCGAGAAACAGACAATAAGCCAAAAGAAGCGGGGGAAACAAAAAGGAAAAGATACCATGAAGGTGATCTTCCAATGATCCTAAGGGCATAAATTCATAAACAAGAAGCCGCTGATCTCCATCAGCACAGTACCCAATCAGATTCACCAGGTTGGGGTGATGCAGAAGACTGAGCATGAGAACCTCAACCAGAAATTCTCTGTTACCCTGAAGTCCATTCCTATCCAACTGCTTAACAGCAACCACCTGTTAAAGCCATAAAACAAAGTTAAGAATCCAAAATCATCTCAAACATGTCACATGTAGTAAATACTGTGAAATCATGCTGCACATACATGACCTATTAGAAATGTCAGTGAATCTGCAGTCTAAATATATAGACAAAATTGCAAAATAGCACAAATGCTACCTGGGGGGGGTGTGTGCAATAGCCACCAAACAAAGAAAAAAAAAAAAAAAAAAATTTGTCAATTTTTGTCATCCAACTTTACTTTTTGCGCTAGTCTCTGTCACCTTATGTGAGAATTTACGTCAAAATTCATCACGTGACTTGCACGTGGACGCATTTTCAAGGGCATTCTCGTCAATACCTCACCCATGAAAAAATATAATTATAAAATAAAATAAATTCTAAATCTATTAGAATCTATAAATAAAAACTTGAGATAATATAAATAAATAAACAACTGAAAAGATAAAAGTGCAGCCCCATGGGAGATTGGAGGGAAAGAACGCTGAGGGCGGGGGGGGAGGGGTTGGATGGGATAAGAGAATGTGGGTTGCAGGGGTCATGCTGGCCAGGAGGAGGAGAAATCGGGCTGGCTGAGGGGAGGTGGCTTGCCGGCTGGCAAATGCACATAGCCCTCAAAGTCGAGGTGTAATTTTTGCAATTTTTGCAAATATTTAATAATTCATGATGGATATCATAAGCATTGTATAACCTTGGCGTTTTGAGATGGATTGGAAAGTATGATATGGGACCAAGAATTATAGCATTCTAGATTCTGAATGAGAAGTTTAACAACTGTGCTTTTCTTTTTGTTTTCTAACAGTGTCTAATAACCATCCTTATGACACTGAAAACTCTAAAATCTAGCTCACATTATAGCCTCGTCATTGGTAATTTAGTTCTCTTTTTGTTGTTGAAATAATAAAGCAAAACCTAGAAGTCTTTGTTAGTACTTCATACGGCTATAGAATATAATTGCTAAATTTTTATTATTATTTTGATATACTGATTCCACCAGCTTACTAATGTTCAATATCTCACTCATGTTTCCTGTACTGATTGCCTCATTTGCTTCATTTCAAAAACTCAATCCTGTAATACCTGATCTCTGTATAAATAACAGATCATGCACCAGCAAAAGAATTTACCTGACCACTACTCTCAAGTCGCCCCTTGTACACACGCCCAAATCCTCCTTCCCCTATGAAAGACTCTGGCCTGAAATTCTTTGTTGCAGTCACAAGTTCACGAAAAGTGAAAATCTGAGCAGCAATTTGAACCCCAGGTACATCCTTGAGATCAGGCAATTTAGACCCCAGGTCCCTTCTGGAGCCTCCATTGCTTCTTGATCTCATTCTGTCTGCTCCTGCAAATACAATTGTAACAAATTAGTGTAGATCCCTAAGTATCATATCAGTCTCCCCTAGACCTCCCTGAGTTCAACAAAACACTCGAAGCCAAAGATCCATTGGATTTGCAACAAAGGAAACTCAATGAAACCACAATCCCAATAGGAAATGATTGAAATTTGGCATGTTCTAAAACATATAAAGGACAGGTTATAAAATTCAGTTGTACTGTATTCAATTGGATGAAATTATGAATATCTATGTTAGTTCTTCAATTATGCAAATAAGCTACAACTTGGGACACCACCACTGGCTACCAATCAGATTGACCTGAACAACCAAAGTCATCATGAGATCTAATTTTACAAAAGATAGGAACAGTCTTTATGAACTATGTCAACATCTGGTGGGGTCTACCTAAAACATATCAAATTTAGAAATCACAAACTTAATCAAACAATCAATCATGCAGCAAAGTAATATACAACAAAACCAAATAACTAAACGAAGAAGGCATCCTCAGCATGTTCTTCATGAAAACGAATGAATGAGAAATACCCAGATCAGATCAAGCAACAAGACATTGAAATTACCAAATAATAAGGATTTAATGAAAGAATGAAAACTGCCTACAACTAACCAGAAGGCAATCTGGAAATGTTAGAAGAGACCGTTGGTTGACCCTGCTTCCGGTCATCAATTTCATTCACTGGATTATTCAGCTTCTCTTCCTCCTTCGAATCGAAACAAGGGAAACAACCCATTTCCCCAAATCAAAAAGCACACTTATTTTTAACTCGTTTCCAATCCAAAAATTGAAGGAGAAAAAAGAAAGAAAGAAAATTTATCCAGATGTATCCAAAGCTCAATCAGAGTTTGGTTTTCCAATCCCTGTTTTACAACAACCCAATACGAGGCCCATTCAAATATCTGTGCAACTCTCTGTCTTTCTTTTCCTCTTTGTTGAAGCGATCAGGCAGATGCAGACGCTATCTAAAGGACAAAAGCAAACGAATCCAAGTCCACAAACAGCAAAAACGATAACAAAGAGGAAGAGAATGAGCGAGAAGAAAAAAAAATCCCAATCCTTTTGGTGCGTAAAAAGAATCTGATAACGGGGTAGTGAAACAGAACTAAAACAAAAAGAGCCGGCTTTGTCTTCTCCTCCTACTGTACACGCACAACAACAACACTTCCCTCCCTCCTTCTCTCTGAGGAGACTTTGACCAAAAAAATACAAATGGCAACTCTGTATCTTTCTTCTCTCTAGATTTTCGCAAAAAGTTAAATTTTAACCGAGCAAGGTAAATCTTAGGGTGTTTGGTTTTTCAGACAGATGGAGAAGCCAGCAACGTTGTAAAAGTTAGAAAAATAAAAGGCTCAAGAACAAGTGGTGTGGATGGGATGGGAGCCGGTTAAGCGCAAAAACGTGTCAAATGGCGGGATTGGCGGACTACACAAGACTGTACCAGTGTAGTCTTTTGTGCCAAACGGGTCCGATTCATGTGTTGGCCCACACCCACGCGGGAATATGATATGCGTGTGTGTCTCCATATACGCACTTCCGCACCTAGTACCAACTTGAGGTATCTTCCATTAAGCAATGGAAGCAAAAGCATGTTGAAGAAGATAATCAATTTTCTTTAACTTATCACCTACTTAATATAATAAAGGCTTTTTAGGAGCCACTTGATCTTTAGTCCCTCAACTTTTTAAATGGCTTTTAAAGTCTCTCAACTCTACTTTCATTTGTAACAAAAGTCCTAGACTAACTTCTGTTACTTTTTTCCATCAAAATAGGGGCAAATTGGTCCTTTTAAATATTTAGCCATTTTTTGTTTTTCTAAATGAAATGAAATTTAAAATTTAAACAATTAAAATAAAGAAAATAAAGTAAACTCAACGCCCAACTTGAAGGAGATGGTGGCGCCGTCAAGCTGAAGGAGATAGTGGCGCCGAGTGATGTATGACAAAATATGGGTTAATTATGGTGTGAAAAATTAATTAAAATAAAGTGACTCAAAGTTGGAAGGAAATCGTGCAAGAGAGAAAATTTTCAATTAAATGTCAATTATGGCGCTATGAAAAGAAGGAAGACGTATCGTTGAGATTTTCTAATTGATTGAGTAAGTTTGAAGCAATTATGATTCTGTCAAGATTTGTATTTAATTTAATATTTTGAAGAATCAGTTATCTATTAGGATATTATTTTCCTAATATGATTTTAGCTATGATTTTTATTATTTTCTTGTTAGCTAAGCTAGAACCTAGGGTTTCCTACAATTTTAGGGTTTCTTTGTTTTATGTTTAAGCCAACTCATGGCATTGTATTTGTCAATTTATCATTTTATTTTCAATCAATATATTTGAGGTTTACTCAATTTCTCTGGTGGATTCTAGTTTGTTGGTGCATTCTTCAAACAACAGGGGGAATTATTTAGAGCTATTAATCAAATCATTAAGGATATGGATCATGCATTCTTCTCTTTATTAGTTGATGAATCGTGTGATGTGTCAGTAAAAGAACAAATGGCAATGGTGTTTCGTTATGTGGACAAAAGTAGGGATGCAATTGAAAGGTTTGTAGTGTAACATCCCACATTGATCAACGGAGAGTGGGTGATGTGCCTTATATGTACATGCCCACCTCCATCTAGCACGAGGCCTTTTGGGAGCTTACTGGCTTCGAAGTCATGGAAATTCCGAAGTTAAGTGAGTTTGGGCTAGAGCAATTCCAGGATGATGACCCACTGGAAAGTTGCTCGTGAGTTCCCAGAAACAAAACCGTGAGGGTATGGAAGGGCCTAAAGCGGACAATATCATGCTATGGCAGAGCCGATCTGGAGTGTGACATAATGGTATCATAACCACTATACTGTGTGGTACGAGTGTGCCGATGAGGACATCGGGCACCTAAGGGGGGTAGATTGTAACATCCTACGTCGACCAACGAAGAGGGGATGATGTGCCTTATATGTACATGCCCACCTCTATATAGCACGAGGCCTTTTGGGAGCTCACTGGCTTCGAAGTCATGGGAATTCAGAAGTTAAGCAAGTTTGGGATAGAGTAATCCCAGGATGGGTGACCCACTGGGAAGTTGCTAGTGAATTCCCATAAACACTGGGAAGTTGCTAATGAATTCCCATAAACAAAACTGTAAGGGCATGGGGGGCCTAAAGCGGACAATATCGTGCTACGGCGGAGCCGATCCGGGGTGTGACATGTAGGCATTCAACGTGTTTGCGATATTACATCAAATTCACTAAAGGAGGTTATTGACACATTGTTTTCAAAAGAGGAATTGAACATTTCCATGTTAAGAGGACAATGATATGATGGAGCTAGTAATATGAAGGGTGAGTTCAATAGTCTTAAAACACAAATTTTGAGAGAAAATCTGTGTGCCTATTATATTCATTATTTTGTACATCAACTTCAATTAGCTTTTGTGGCTTAGCAAAGGGAAATTATGATATTGCCACTTTCTTCACATCCTGCAATAGCTAAGTTAATATTGTTGGAGCATCATATAAACGTCGTGACATGCTTAGAGATCAACTACAAAAGTATATTACAGAAGCTCTTGAAAAAGATACCATTCCAACAGGGCGATGCTTAAATCAAGAAACTTGTCTCAAGCATCCCGGCGATACACGTTGAAACTCACATTATGGTACAATACTTAGTATCATTTCCATGTTCAAATTTGTGGTGAAAATGCTTAAATTGATTATTGAAGATGACTTCATTGATAATATTGGTGAAGCAAATAGTTCATTGAGAGAAATACAATCTTTTGACTTTGTATTTCACTTATTTTTCATGCGATCTATATTGGGAGCCACAAATAATTAGTCACAAGCATACAAAGGAAAGACTAAGATATTGGGAATGCAATGACTTTAGTCAAAAATTGCAAGGACCAACTACAACACATGAGAGAGAATGCATTTGAAGCCTTGCTTGATCAAGTATCTCTTTTTGTGGCAAACATGATATTGAGGTTCCAAACATGGATGATACATATGTAGCTTAATGGAGATCACATCGGAGAGCTAATATAATAACACACCTCCATCATTATCGTGTGGATATCTTTGTTCAAATCATTGATGGGCAACTTGAGGAATTAAATCATCGCTTCAGTGAGGTAAGTACTGAGTTACTTCTTTGTTTGACATGTTTGAGTCCAAATGATTCATTCATAGCTTTTGACAAACAAAAGCTACTTCGTTTTGTTGAATTTTATCCTCAAGATTTTACTCATCCAGACCTTTTGGCACTTGAAGATCAACTTAGGATTTATATTCATCATATGCATACAAGGAGCAATTTTTCTCAATTGAAAGGAATTGGTAGCCTTGCAAGAAAAATGGTGGAGAAAGGATTGCATAGAACATTTAATTATGTTTATTTGCTTCTCACATTAGCCTTAACTTTACCGATTGCAACAGTTTCTGTGTAGATAGCATTTTCTGCTATGAATATTGTGAAAGGTCCAGTTCGCAACCGAATGAGAAATTAATGGTTGAGTAATAGCTTACTTGTTTATATTGAGAAATATGTGTTTGTTTGTATTGATAATGACTCTATAATGTGACGTTTTCAGAATATGAAAACTCATCATGGACAATTGTAATGTGTTTTTTTTTTCCTATTAATTATAAATTATAAATTATAATATTATCATTTCAATTTTTTTTTTTGTCTATTTTGTATAGAATATTTTTAACCTTTTAGACGTTAATTCATGGAAAGAAAATTCCTGAATCTGCCACTATGAAAGAGTTCGGATGATGACAAAAAGGATTGACTCCAGCTAAAATGTTCCTTTTCTCTCTTTTTTTCCTTTGGTTAAATTTGATTAGCATATCTCTCTCAACAAAATGTTCCATACTTGAGAGATGCCACACGTCTGGTCTATAAAATTTTGGACTTGTGTTGTACGTATGCCATGATGATGATGATGGATGGATGGATGGATGGTAGAGAAGTAGAAATGGCATAGCATCGACAATATTCGAATGGGATGCAGAAACAAAATGGGAAGGAAGGGTCATGATTGATTGCTGTAGCTAAGATTCTAAATTGTGATAATATATCCCAATTTTTATTATTCCTGTCAGACTACAGTGAAGGTTCCTTTATGACGTTGTCAGATTTTACATAGGAAGGTCACTTCATTTGTTTTATTTTTTCTTTATGAACATGGCCGGCTGCAAAAATAAGTGTATTGGGCCTTGGCCCATACGCAAATATTTTCCAACTTATTTTTTCTGTAAGAGCTGTTCCAGCCATAGAGCCCAGCCCGAGGGGAGGGGGGAAAAAAACAAAAATCTGGTTCCAGCGGGAGAGCCCAGGCCCGGGGGGGGTGTGGGACCCACCTACCCGGGCTGGCCCGAAGGCAACTTTCGCCCCAGGTCCAAAACGCGGGGGGGTGACGTCACGACGACGTCAGGCTGACGTCGTCACGCGGTTTTCAATTTTTTTTTACCGTTGGCGCGTGCAATGCACGCGCCAACGTTAAAAAAATTTAAACCCGCGTGCGCTGACGTCAGCGCGACGCCAGCCACAACGGGTGGAAGCCACGTGGCACTCCCCCAGCGCTCCGATTTGATTCCAAATGCTAATCCAACGGCTGGCGATTTTTGGACAATAAAATTATGAAAAAAAATCGAAATTTTTTTTAAAAAAATACTAAAAAATCCTAAAAAATTCTGATTTTTTTTCCTATAAATACCTATAAATACCCTTCACTTTCAACACCAATTCTCATACATTTTATTCTACTTCTACAATTACTCAACATATTTTTCACTCTTCACTCAACATTTTCTTCACTCTTCACTCAACATTTTCATCTCTTTCACCTTGTAATTTTAGTTATTATTTTTATGGCTTCTTCTATTGAAACCGGAGGGGCGTGGAGCACCATGGAAGATGTTTCTTTGTGTGAGGTTTGGCTCCGAGTTTGTCATTGTCCCTTGTCAGGCAATGAGATGAAATTTTTCCATATGTGGAAAAAAATTCATGCCGAATTTTGCGAAAAAATTCCGGACTCCACTCGTACGGAAATGGCATTGTCGAGTAGGTGGAAACTTCTCAACAAAGAGATGGCAAAATGGAGAGATGCCTTGGCAAAAGCGATGAATTTGTATAGAAGTGGGGAAAATCGTACTAACGAAGTAAGTATTTTGTAATTTTCGTAATCATTAAGTTTAATGTCCTAATATATATATGTTGTTAATATTTATTGCATTGTCAATATTTTGTTAATATTTCTTGCATTTCAAATCTTTTGTTAATATTTCTTGCATTTGAAATATTTTGTTAATATTTCTTGCATTTTCAATATGTTGTTAATATTTATTGCATTTCAAATATTTTGTTAATATTTCTTGCATTTTCATTATGTTGTTAATATTTATTGCATTTCCAATTGTTTCTTCATATTTCTTGCACTTCCAATTTATTTGTAAGGTTAATTGCATTTCCATTATTTTTATTTTGTTACTTGCATATCCAATATATTTTAAATAGTTATTGCATTTCCTTTTTTTGTTAAATAGCTCATTCAAGCACAGATGTGGTTCGGTGCAACCGGGGGTGGCAAAAAAAGTTCACCCATCATGAATGTTGGGAGGTGGTGAAACATTGTAAACGGTTCACAATTATTCCGACGGGTCCCGAAGTTGTGTTAAACGAGACGCCTCTCCGTGATTCAACGACATCGGATTCACCTCTCGATTCCCCTATGAGTGAAGACTCACCCATCCAAAAAGAACCAAGGCCCATTGGCCGAAAGGCCGCGAAGGCAAAGAAAGCGGGTAATTCAAGCAATTTTAATTCAAAGTTTTTGGAGGAAATTGCAAGGCAAAACTCCGTAAGACTTGAAATGGAGCAGAAACGCCAAGATATGGAGGTGGCAATTCAAGCCGAACAATCACGAGAAAAGGAGTATTTGCGCAAAAAAGATCAGCAGAAGACGGATCGGGAAACCATGGCAATGGATACAAGTCATATGTCCCCCGAAACAAAACAATATTGGAAGCTAGAACGGAGGGATGTTATGAGAAGAAGACTTTTCCAAGATGATGGGCCTAGCAACACCGATTGGTTAAATGATCAAAACCATTAAATTAGTTGGCATACCTTTTATGTATTTTTATTTTTCATGTTTTGTATTAAAGTTGGTGTACTTCATGTTTCATGTTTTATTTTAGTAGTAGTAATTCTTAATGACTTGTATTGGATTTCTTTATTTAATAAACAAATCATTCAATAAAAGACCATTTTATTCAACATATTCCATACATCAAACATAACATAAATAAAATGAAAACAAAAACTACAAACAAGGCACAATAATAAATAAAACAACACAACAAACAACACAACAAAACCATAAGCAATAGTAAACAACACAACCAAACCATAAGTAAATAAAACATAACCAAAGCATCTATGCTCCATCATTCATCTTCATTCCCTTTCACCGCCCATATATGCTCTATCAAGTCAAGTTGACGGCTTTCATGAATATACGAAGATTGCATCTCTGTATATCGATCTATCATCCGGGTCATCATACGATCGTCCCTCACCAACGGTTCCGGCTCCAACGGTTCTCCATTTGGCCCCATGGGCATTTCATAAATCCGGGTCATCGCCGTGTTTATTGGATCCGGCTCATAGACCTCTCCAGCATCATAATCGTACTCATCCTCCACAATCATATTATGGAGGATGATGCAAGTCATCATAATGCTTCGGAGGACCTCCTGATCAAACATACGGGCCGCACCTCGAACAATCAACCATCGAGCTTGAAGGATGCCAAAACACCTTTCGACATCTTTCCTGTATCCTTCTTGATAGGTAGCAAATAATTTTTGCTTATGGGATCGGGGATTCGGAATGGATTTGACAAATGTGGTCCACCTTGGGTAGATACCGTCAGCTAGATAATACCCCGTCTGGTAGACTGTATTGTTGACTTGATAGGTAATATTGGGGCCTTGGCCGCTCAAAACTTCGTTGAAGACCGGAGATTGACCCAGGACATTGAGGTCATTTTGGGCTCCGGCAACTCCGAAGAAAGCATGCCAAACCCATGTGTCGAACCCAGCAACGGCTTCCAGGATGATACTTTTTGTGCCTTTTCTATTTCCGAAATCACCTTGCCAGGCAGTTGGGCAATTCTTCCATTGCCAATGCATGCAGTCGATGCTACCAATCATTCCTGGAAATCCTCGAGCTTCGGCTTTTTGTAGAAGCCGTTGGAGGTCCCTGGGAGTAGGTCTACGCAGGTAGTCCCTAGTGTACAGGTTTTCAACTGCATCACAAAATCTTACCAAAGCCTCCAACGTAGTGGACTTCCCCATTCGGGCAACCTCATCCACCTGATCAGCAGATGCTCCATACGCCAACATTCGTATAACAGCTGTAAGCTTTTGCTCCGGAAGAAGGCCCAAAACCCCAGTAGCATCACACTTTTGAACAAAGTATGCATCATAATTGCAAATATCATGCATGACTTTATTGAACAAATGAGGTTGCATTCTAAATCGCCTTCGAAAATCAACATCAGAGTACAAAGCAGTTGGGATAAAATAATCTTCCAAAAGATTCTTACCCCGAGAATGCCTATGTCTGTCCACATTCCGGCGACGGCCGACTTGTGAACCACGGCGGCGACCTTGGTTCTCTTCCTCTTCCATTGCCACTGCTATGAGAACTTGCTCATCGACTTGCCTCTGCCACTCATTGATTTCATCGGCTCTACGGTTTCTCTCCTTTCTTTCTCTCTCGTGCCTCTCCAAGCATCTCCTATATTCTTCCATTGAGAATGAATGGAGTATGAATTCTAAACTCTAAGAAATGAAAATATTGAAAGATGTGGTGTGAGAGGTATGATGTGAGCCTCTGGTTTTATAGAAAAATTTGGCAAGATAGAGATGCCACGTGGCTTGATTTGATTGGATGAAAATCTTATCTGAAATTTGAAATTCATCCGAAATTTGAACCCAAATTTATCTGAAATTTGAATTTTGAAATTCATCCGAAATTTGAACCCAAATTCATCTGAATTTTGAATTTTGAAATTCATCCGAAATTTGAATTTTGAAATTCATTCGAAATTTGAACCCAAAAATTTATCTGAAATTTGAATTTTGAAATTCATCCGAAATTTGAACCCAAAAATCTTATCCCGAAATTTTATCCGATTATGAATAGTGTTGACACGTAGGAACCCGTAAATCTTATCCGAAAATATTATCCAAATTAATTATTGAGGTAAAAAAAATTGTGAATAAAACAAAAAAATGAATAGTAACTGCCCTTAGCTAGGGCAATGGGTGGAAACACAAAATTCTGATTTTGCAAGGGCAACCACTATTCACGTGAATAGTGGCTGCCCTAGCTCCCCCCCTTGCCATGGCTAAAGGCAATATGGGTGGAGTTGCTCTAAAAGCTTTTATTAATTTTCCCCATGGGCTGATATGGCATTGCGAACATAAGTTGTTGGATTTTAATAATAAAAAGTTTATAATTCAAGTGATTAAGAATATGTCATGTACTCAATTATCGTCTCCTTCGATCTTGCTTGTTTAAGGAAAATAAAAATAAAATAAAGAAAATGAACATAATGCATTGGTAATTTGGTAGGTGAAATGGATGATAGAAATGCTGGGAGATTGGGCCATCCCTCCCAACAGGATGAAGTACCATTGTCGACGATTGTTTGAACTGTCAGTACACTTGTGGTGTTGTCAAAGAGGATGGTGGACATAGGCCCAAGTTGCCTGTACTGTTTTGTTTCCCAATGCGCATGTGCTAATATTAATACTCGTCCATAGTCAAGCATGGTATTTGTTGGGATTAAATACATGAGGATGCACGATTGGATTCGTCGGAAAATATTGAACATATTTTGGAATAAATTAATCATAAAGAAGAGTGATTGATGCAAAAAGAGTGGAATAGTGGTGGGAAACACAAATGACAAGTGCAAGTTAACGGTCAACAGATCAACTTCCACCTCCCGAAAAACATTAACACCTCCCCCCCAAAAAAATCAAAATCCATTCCTATCTCCGCATATCTCTCCTTCACTAATTTTGGTTTGCTCTTGTTGTGGATCCTAATTTTCCCACTTTTCCAAAATTCCATTTTCCTTGTTGCAGGGCAGCTATCAAAATTAACAGAAATTAAAATTTATTTTATTAAAAAAATAAAAACTAAAGGAAGAAGAAAAGCTTGCCCAATTGCATTGCAACGCAATTTATCTGTCTGGAGAATTGATTTAAGGCAGTGCTTGGTGGGAACGGACTTGATGGAGAAAAACGCAGCGGCGCCTGAAAAGTCCGTCAGTTTTCCAAGACATTCGAGCAAGAAGAACATCCTCTTTTCGAGTCCAATCACACCAAGACGCTACGAAACCATTGATGAAGAAGCTCCACCCGAATCCCAAGACCCAGATCAAGACCCCAACTCCTCCAATCAAATAGCCACCGAATTCCGCCTATCCGAGGTTCTGGAAGAAGTCGATCGCTTCTTGGCCTCTTTCTCCGAAGCCAAAGAAAATGGCAACAGTGACCTGACGGAGGAGCTGGAGGTCCCTGACTCCGTTGAGTCGCTATCCAAAACTGTCGAGTCCATGATAAACAAATATGGCCGCAACCTCGCTAGGTTTGGGGAGAACGAAGACGACGATGAATCGTTCATCAACGCCGTGATCTGCATTTCCAGAATTTCAACAATGTTGGACGATTTCTCTTCCAGTTCCAAAACCAATGCGACCTTGAACCGGAGCAGCACAGTCCTGCAACGTGCCATGGCCTTATTGGATGAGGAGTTCCGTAACCTCCTCCTCCTTGATCAGCAAGATGCAAATGCTACCAAATCGGATTATAATTTGGAGCAGAGCTTCTCCAGCAAGATCACCTCCAAGCTCTCCTCTTTCAATAGCAACAGCAGCAGCTCCAGTCACGATTCGGTTCGGGGACAGCAACCACAACCCGAACCAGACCGCCTTGATGAGTTTCCTTCCTTCTCCGAGGAGAGCATCTCCACCATGAACAAAATCGCCACCACCATGATCACCGCTGGCTACGAGAACGAGTGTTGCATGGTCTACAGCATCTCGCGACGCAACACCTTCAAATCAGCGCTCAATGATATCGGCTACGAAAGCATCAGCATCGACGAGGTCCAGAGAATGCCGTGGGAGTCCCTCCAGGCAGAGATCGCCACGTGGATCAGCGTCGTCAAGCTCTGCTCCTCCATCCTCTTCTCCCGCGAGCGGAAGCTCTGCGACGCCGTGTTCTCCGGCCATAAATCCCTATCCGAGTCCCTATTCTGCAACCTCGCCCGCGCCGTCGCAATCCAACTTTTCAACTTCGCCGACGCCGTCGTCCTGACGAAGCGGTCGCCGGAAAAGCTCTTCACAATGCTCGACATGTACGAGACGCTACGGGATCTGGTCCCGGCGATCCGAGACTCGTACCCAGAGGACATCGGGAAAGAGCTGATCTCGGAGGCGGAGGCGGCTAGGAACCGCCTTGGCGAGGTAGCCGTGAGTATCTTATGCGATCTCGAAAACTCGATCAAGAGCGACAACGGAAAAACTCCGGTGCCGAGTGGCGCAGTGCACCCCTTGACGCGCTACGTCATGAACTATCTAAAATACACCTGTGAGTACAAGGACTCGCTAGAGCAAGTGTTCGTGGAATTCGAAAAGACGCACGGGACCCCCGGAACGACGTCGTCCCCTTTCCAATGCAGTTACTTACGGTTATGGACATGCTTGATAGCAACCTGGACATGAAGTCCAGGCTGTACAGGGACCCGGCGCTGCGCTTCATTTTCTTGATGAACAACGGGCGGTACATCATGCAGAAGGTGAAGGGGTCCACTGAGATCCACCAACTGATGGGCGACACGTGGTGCCGAAAGCGGTCAACGGACCTGAGGGGTTACCACAAGAACTACCAGAGGGAGACGTGGGGGAAGGTGTTGCAGTGCGTGAACCATGAGGGTTTGCAGGTGAGCGGGAAGGTGTCGAAGACGGTGATCAAGGAGAGGTTTAAGTGCTTCAACACGTTGTTCGACGAGATACACAAGACACAGAGCACGTGGGTTGTGAGCGACGAGCAGCTGCAGTCGGAGCTTAGGGTTTCGGTTTCGGCGGTGGTGATCCCAGCGTACCGGTCCTTCTGGGGGAGGTTCAGGCAGTACTTGGAGGGGACGAAGCAGGCGGAGAAGTATATAAAGTACCAACCGGAGGATATTGAGAATTTGATTGATGACTTGTTTGATGGGAACAATACTTCAATGATGAGGAGGAGGACGTGATAATTTTGAACAACGAATTCCCAATGTTTTGATCGATTAACTCATGCCAGTTGGTGGAAATTTTTTTTCTAGAGATGGATTAATTTTGAGCAAATTTTCTGTTTTCTTTGTGTTCCTTTCTGTTCAGTTTTGGCAGATCGGGATTTATGTATCTTGTAAACTATATGTTGGACTTATTTGGGTTTTGATCATATAGAAATCTCACACCAAGTTTTGATCGGTTTGCAAGGAGCGCGCCAAATTTCAAAAACCCAGTAAGGGATTTCTTCAAATCTTTCTCCTTTCCTTCAAAATCTTATCTTTTACATTTTAATTCCCTCAAGCAGCTGAGTTGCAACACTAGGTTAATGTTTTTGTCTTCTTAATCAAATGAAAGCTCACCAGCTTTAGGCCAGGAACTTTAGATTTGATTTGGGCTTCTATTGTTTTGTGTACGTGTTGTGTGTTACGTATGTTGGGCTGTGTTGGCTTTGGTGTTTTGTGTTATGGTTGGCTTGGCTTATTTTAGGCTCTCACCATAGAATCATTCATGAACTAAACTTAGCCTATTGTGCCTTTCTATTGTAACAGGTTGGTTTCTAACATGTTTTCCTATAATTCAATGTGAATGTTCTTAAGAAATTTGGTGATGTAAAGGGAAGATTGCATTCATAGGCCAATCATAGATACGATATTTTTTTGTTTTAAAATGTTAGACATTAATGTATATCAGAAATTCCACAAATGTGGAATAACAATATATTGTGATAGGAAATCAAGGGAATATTTTATTTTAGTTTGTTTATTTAAATGATTGTTAATTACTATTTAAACCTCATTGTGGTGGTCTCCTCTCTCTCTCTCAAGGACGGAACCATGAATTTTTCAACGGTGGGCTAGCTAAAGTTATTATCTTAAAATCTAATGATATATATATATATATATTTTTTACAATTTCTATAGTCTTTTTAGAAATAAAAGTATACATTAAATCATATAAATCACGCTAATTCATAATAATTTCATTGACTAAATTTCAATACGTTTTTTTCTTTTTATACAAGCGATATTTGTGGAGGGGGAGAATCCGACCTAAGACCTCGAGTGCGTGACTAAATGCTAATTTCCAATAAGGTTTAACATTTAAAAAAAAATACCTATTAATGAAACCAAAAAGCACATATTATAAAATAAAAAATATGTTTGACAACATAATTGAGACTGTACCTATTTTAATGTGTATCTTTATTGATGTCTTGCAACTAAACTCATGAAGAATTGAACTTTTATGGAGTAGTAATAGGTTCATACATATTGGGCTATGTTTAAAAAAGTTAAATATATAGGTTAGATTTTTTTAATCCCCAAAACTCTCCTAGTCATTAAGGAACTCTCTCTCTCTCTCTCTCTCTCTCTCTCTCTCTGGGGCTAAGAAAAGGAAATGTGTCTATTTTTCTTCAATGTCAAGGTAAAGAACGGCATAATGGAAATGTGTTTCATTTCTTCAATTTGCCAAAGCAATGTGTCAAACTCCTTAATTTTTTCCATGCAAGTTCAAACCCCCTTCCTATACATTAAAATAGTTTTAGAATATCGTCATTATTAAAATAAAATGAAAATACAAGCATATGGAGACTTTGAAAAAAATAGTTGACAAATTATATCTTATCAATTAATAGTACGAATCGGCCGCGTGTTTTAGTCCTCATACTAATTCTATGATGAAGCAATTGATTTCCGAATTGTTTGGGGTGTGGATTGTGAATTGTCATGAGTGTTACCTTGGTTTGCCTATGATCGCCAAGAGGAACAAATCTTAGATGTTTAATCATGTGAGGGAACAGTTGTGGAAAAAATTAAATGCTTGGAACACAAAGTTATTATCTGCTGCCGGAAAAGAAGCGTTGATCAAGGTAGTAGGGCAGGCTCTTCCTATGTATATTATGGGAGTCTTTAAGTTGCCCTAACATTTATATCAGGAACTGTCTGCCATGATTGCCCGGTTTTGGTGTGGAAAGGCAGGGAGGAAAGGAATTCCTTGGATGGGATGGTGGAACTTTGAAGCTTTTAACAGGATGGTGGAACGTTGAAGCTTTTAACAAGGCAATGGTGGCTAAACAGGCGTGGCGGATTTTAGAATATCCTACTATTGCATGTGGAGCTTGGCGTGTTTGGAAGATTCGCAATGATCTATTGCATGGGAAGAATGAACCATAGATGGATGTGATCGTGGAGAGCACTCTGAAGATGCATGCTCTATTCAAAGCCAATGTTGAGCGGCTGCGAAATTCTGTTGCTTCTCTATATGTGAAGTGGATTAAGCCACCGACCCAAACTCTCATTCTCAACTGTGATGGTGCTGTTAGTAGATACAGAAGTGGCCTGGGTTTAGGGGACTGTTGCCGAGATTATGTTGGAAATTTTCTGTGTGGGTTCGTTGCTGCTGGGCATCATGGGTTGGATGTGTTAGAAAAATATAATATTTATATTTAATTATTTAATATTTGAATAGAAATTAAATTGTGGGACTCAGGACTTTAAGTACATGACTTTTATGAATTTGTATGTATCAATTAGAAATAGTCATGTTATTAACCGAGAAAAAATAAAATATTATTTATTTTGTTTGTGAATAAAATAATAATACTTTATGTGAAAAGTTGCATTGTTTCATAGAAATTGAAACATTGCACTTCTTGGCTTAAGTTACATTGTTTCATAGTAATTGAAACATTGCAGTACTTCTTGGCTTATGGTTGTAATAATATGAAAAGACATATTTGTTGATATTTTTCAATCACATCTTTTTTGAATAGAGGCCTTGTTGCCTATAAATAGAGAAGGTCCTACAACAATAGTAGTTTTTAGAGCATTTATAGCATTATATTTTCATAAATATAGTGAGTTAGTAAGAGAGAATTCATATACAAGTTTGAGTTCGCATGTCTTAGGGATTGTAGTGCTACTTCAACAAGAAGTCGATCGTCGTATTCTAGAAGACGTTTGCCAAGCAAATCCTAAAAGTACATGTGATGAGGCAATTTCGTCTTAAGAAGATAGAACCAAGTTCTAGACTCGATCATTTGTAAAGTATTCTTAATTTTCCTTGTCGTTATTTTTCTTGTATTTATTTCTAATTTATAGTGAAGTTTTATTTTCAAAATTCTGTAAATATAACAATTATCTTTACTTTTACCAACAGGATGTGCTAGGTACGGAGTTGGTGGCGTTATGTGAAGGCCTTATGATGATAAGGTTTAAAGGTTTTACCCCTTTTTTTGTTACTTCAGACTCAAAAGAAGCATTGTCTATGCTCAAGGTTGGGTTGGAGTAGTGGAGTAACATTGATATTGTGGTGGAGGATATTCGACGTTTGCTTGTTGATAGGGAAGTAATAGATGTGGTGCATAAACCTAGAATTGGCAATGAAGTGGCACATGCACTTGCTCAATTTGGGTTAAAGGAAAGCACAAGGTAATTTTGGGAAGGTGCTGCTCCACCTTGGTTGGTGGCAAGATTGGAACATGATTTAGATTTGGCCTAGTCTGTTTATTTGTTTATTAGGGAGGGCAGTGGTACTCTTTTTCTTTGGAGGTTTTTATGGCAAGGTTTTAACGAGGTCACATTTTTGCTTTTCACTTGTTTTGCTATTGAATTTATTTTTGAAATCAGTAATTTTGGCAAAAATTTCAACATATTGGTCTTCCAAAGTTTGGCGCATTGTAAGTTTTTCCCAGTTGAATGAAGTTACTTGTTTTGATTAAATAAATAAAAAATAAATAGTACATATTAGATTCAGATGCAGTCCGTTGACAACAAATAAATTTAAAAAAAAAAAAAAAAAAAAAAAAAAAAAAAATTCAGATGCCCATGGGGCAAGGTGCAAATAAAGGTATCATTAGCAATGTAGACAGTTATGAACTTCTCTTTTCATCCCATCCCTTGTTTCACACTTCCCTTCCAACTTCTTCCATATTGCTTATTCGTAATTGTTTGTGTAATTTAAAAAGTTTAAAATATATTTTATCTTTGGACAGCAAAAGATAGAACATGTTCTGAATAGTTCCTTTTTCTAAGTTTATTATTCTACATCCAAATCAATGTTCGGACTGAGAACAATGCGAAATCCTTTACTTACTTATTGACTTGTAAAAAGTAATGAGTTTTCGAGTAAACTGAGGAGCCAGGCCAAGGGAACGTTCTGCTGCCTCTGCATTCTTTCTCAAGGCTTAACCAGTTACCACTGTTGCAATTTAAAACAGCGTGAGAGAAGAGAGAAGCACAGAATTTAAAGTAAATTTTGTGGTCGGGACCTAAAGACCCCAGCCCAACCCCCAACTAAATTAAACCCAAAATCTATAGAGAGAGAGAGAGAGAGAGAGAGAGAGAGAGAGAGAGAGAGAGAGAGAGAGAGTAAAAAGACGCCCACATCCCGCTGCATGCAAACTGTGCCCGCCGCCCGACTGTGAGTCTGCTCTGCAGCAGGCCACGCCTTGCTCTCTATTCTTTTTTGTGTTTTGTTTCTGTTCTTTCTCTAAAATCGATATCCAAGTCAACTGTTGCTTTGTCATTGCCTTACTTGGACACACTACTAAATCCCAGGTTTTGTTGTTGGTGTTGTTCTTGCTGTTTTTACATTTACATATATTTTAATATTTCAATCCCAAATTGACCCAAATCAAACTTATCTTAATATATGTAACGTATATAAAAGGTAAAAATGAACATGAAAAATAAAAGTTATAGGGGTTAGTGGAAGAAATTAATAGTAATCAAGTATATATATATATAGATATATATGTACACTAGTATCAAAAAATAACGCATGCAGGAGGGTTGAAGTGTTTTGGGGTATTGCAATTGCATGCGTTACCAGAACCTCATCAATACTATTGTAAAAGCCATTAACTATAATTAATTCATTAAGCAGACACAATTCCACAGAAAAAGAAGAAAAAAAATAATTGACACACACACACTGGCATAATGCATGGCATGCTAGATGTTGCAGCACTACTTTTTCATGGGATGGGATTTGCACAGTTGCACTGTTGCTGGAAGAGGTCAAAATTCACAAACCCAAGAACCGTTGATCATCATCATCATGTTCTCTGTTCTTCTTCGAATCCAAATCCAAAATCCAAAAATCCAAATGAGAAGAAAGAAAAACGAGGCAGACATGCGCGTAAGGGTCACGTCAGAATTGTAAAAGCAGTTTTGGTCATATATAAACTACACCCGACAACAAGGACCAACGCAGCCGTCTAATATCTCTGTGCTCTGTGTGTGGATGCCTTGCCTTTGCTACTAAAAAGCCTGTGTTTCCAACAAAACCTGAAAAAGCGCTTAATTTTAGCTTAAAATGGAGCTGCCAATTTCCCTCCCCTACGCCCTACCGTAGACAAAATTACCCCATACGCCGCCTTCCTCCCCTGACATCGCCGCTTCTACTACCATCCCCTACGACGTATTTCTACTTTATCTACGTCTACGCTCCTCGTCCTTGTACGTTGCTGTACAGACAACAATCCTTTTAAAGCAAAATCCACGAGGTCCCCTTAGCACGCCCTGCGACAACAAACAGACAAACCAATTAACCCTTTTAAACACCCCCCCCTCCCTTCACAATTACCATATTACCTCTCGCCACCTTCCCTATAAAATCCCCATCCCACTCTTCACTTGTCTAAGTTGTGCAACACCTTCTCACACTCTTTTGTCTCAAACAACAACTTCTCTGGTCTCTTCTTCTCTTGTCTTCTGCATTTTTCAACAGTCTTCAAGTTTGGTTTGTGGGTTTTGAGAGCATTTTTCAATCATCTTCAAGTTTGGTTTGTGGGTTAGTTTTGTTAATTGAGAGGAGAGAGAGTAAGAGTAGTGCAATATTATTATAATGATGCATTATCAGCAGGCAGAGGCGTCGTGGGGTTACTATGTGCCGGTGAGGATGAGCATGGGGGACCCACTGGAGCGGGTGGCGAGGCTGGCGGCGAAGAGCGCGGTGGTAATATTCAGTGTGAGCAGCTGCTGCATGTGCCATGCTGTCAAGAGGCTCTTCTGCGGGATGGGGGTCAATCCGACGGTGTATGAGCTGGACCAGGACCCCAGAGGGAAGGAGATCGAGAGGGCTCTCATGAGGTTGCTCGGCAACTCGCCGGCTGTTCCGGTGGTTTTTATTGGCGGCAAGCTCATCGGCACCATGGACAGAGTTATGGCTTCCCATATCAATGGCTCCCTGGTCCCCCTTCTCAAGGAGGCTGGGGCCCTCTGGCTCTGATCTGATGAGCATCTCTAGTTGACATGTCACAAGAAAGAAAGACAAAAAAAAAAGGGAAGAGAAGGGGTGAGCTTCAGAAGTGATTTTCATGATGATGTCTTGTTGAAATACATTGGAATGCTTTATGTTAATTTCACTTGCATTTTCTACTCCAATGGAAATTCTCCCATATATATAATAAAAAAAAGTTCAGATTTTGAGGTCTTCTATATGGAAATTCTCAGCCATTAGTTGAGGATAATCAAGCCAGTAATCGACATGATTTTGGCATTTTGTTCGGTATCTGTAGTTTTTTATCGATCAGGTAAAGTGGCTCTTCAAACTTAAATACTTACAATTATAATGTTTTGTTGATCGGCCACCTACATTCCTGCTACTGCCCTGCACACAGTGATGATGTCGGCTACAGTATGTCCCGTGGCGGGCCATGGCCAATCCTGACCTACAACAACTATCACTGATTGCTACGTCATCAACACTTCCAAACCCTGTTTCGTAATCAATTGTAATTTGCAAAAACAACGTCCAAAAAGAAATTTTGCTTTTGGGCTTTTTGAAGAAACGTCTACAACCGGGCCCAATTCTTGTTTCGGGAACAAAGCCCAAGCAACTGAGAGAGGCTTGGATTTACTGCTGTGGCGAAGCTACTGAGAACTGTTGTTATTACCATGAAACCGATGTTCTTTACCACCAAAATAAAAACAAAACATAAAACCAAAATTGGACTTTAATAAGAAAATATATGAAAGAGGACACCATGGCAGATAAAAAACGCACCCGCACAGATTCAGGGACCATTTCAAGATCTAAAATAATATGCACAAAATCTAATTCCAGCGATGATTAAGCCAACGAGAATGCTAAACGTATAACAACAAGAATAGTACAACTTGTCCTTAACCACGGTCCATGCATAAGCATTAATAAGCATCTGATTTGCCAAAGAGACAAAACTATGAAACCCAAACAATTTTGAAGCCTTGAGAGTTTGAGAGGCACCATATCATGTGATGTGTGAGCTAAGGTAAGGCTAGTTGTGGAGAGTCGTGCATGACATAAATTTCTTTCAAATTGTCAGCCACCTAGTGGCTTTTAACCCCCAAAAGCAAACGGAAGTATGAATGTATCCTCGTAGGGAAGGAATGAAGTAGTGTCCAACGCAAAATTGTCACAAAAAAGAGACAAGCCCCGTGCCCCCACAACCAGCAATTGAGTCATTTAAAAAACTTAGGACTTTTTTGCCATCGAGAAAATCATGTAAGCCCTAGTTCAATTTCCACTAGCTGTTAAATCTGCAACAGAATTAAAAGCCCCCCTCTATCCCTCTTACCTGACAATCTGCCAAAAGGGTTCTTCACATGTCTTTGTTTCGTTCTGAATAGATAAAGCATTTCATCTCTATGATTACAGTTGGTCCTAACACCAAATACTCACGGGCACATTATATGCCGACAGAGCTTGAGCCTCCAGCTATTTAATATTTGCTTTAGATGCACTGGGTTAAGTACAAACTAGTATAGTCCATAGGCAATACATGCTTTTACTGGAAGCTTCCTTCTTCCTCTCCCATGTTTTCTTCCATGGATCATCCAATTATTTTACTTCTTCTTCTAACATATCTTGCTACACAGTCACTTGCTCTTGCAGCTCAATCAAGAACACCAAAAGCCCGGATCACGGTTGTGGGAGCAGTTTATTGTGATACCTGTTCAACCAACACATTCTCCAGAGGCAGCTACTTTCTGCCAGGTAAATTAATGATCTTCAAGGACCAAAAACAGAGCATAGTTTCATTCAAAGTTACTAGCTAGCAGTCTTTTAAGTAATTAATTGTCGTAAGAGAGGCTTGTAGGTCAGGTGGTTAAGAGCATTTACTTCTGCACACATGAGGTCCTAGATTCGGTTCTCCCTCCCCCAATATCGCTTGTATATAAATTTAAAAAAATAATTAATTGTCTCATATTAGTGTTTTAATTGCTTGTGTTTAACTGATCAGGAGTGGATGTTCTCATAAAATGCAAATTCAGAGGAAACTCACCCAAAACAGCAGAAGATATCAATTTTGAGGTCAACAGAACCACAGATAAGTATGGAGTGTACAAGTTGGAAATACCTGTTGTTGATGGAGTTAACTGCATAGATGGCTTTGCAATGAAGTCCATGTGCCAGGCAAACTTGATAGGAAGCTCATCCTCAGCCTGCAATGTTCCTGGTCTAAAAACAACAGCAGATGAGATATCAGTGAAGTCAAAGCAAGACAATCTGTGTATATACAGCATGAATGCCTTGAGTTTCAGGCCATCCAAGAAGAATGTGAGCTTATGTGGAGATAAGAAAGAGGAATTGGCAAGTTCCTTCAACTCTTCCAAGTTCTTTCTCCCTTACCTCCCACCATATGGCTTCTTCCCTCGGCCTCAATTGCCATTCCCTCCACTACCACCGTTTTCATCACTTCCCTTTCCTCCTTTGCCACCTCTACCATCTTTGCCTTTCCCATTCCCACCATCTTTGCCTTTCCCATTCCCACCATCTTTGCCATTCCCATTCCCACAATTCCCTCCTTTTACTCCATCCCCAAATCCTTTGGCCCCAAACTCTCCACCTGCATTTAACTTCGGCGACCCAAGAACTTGGATACCTTATATCCCTAAAGTCTTTGCTCCTCCTCCACCACCTGCATTTAATCTTAGAGACCCCAGAACTTGGATACCACCATATATTCCTCCATCCCCTCCTGGTAGCCCTCAAAACCAGAAACCATAGTTTTAGTCTCACTATTTGTTTTACTTCACATATCTACAATAATACTATGTTCCATATATTATTGCTTACCATGGTCAAAAAAGCTTATTTGCCATGGTGAAGAAAAGCTTCTGTTTATGTATGAGATGGAAAACATTTGGATATAACAATATTTTACATAAATCCCCTGCCCTGAAAGGCAGAAACATCTGTTTTATTATGTTAGCTTGTGACTAGTGAGCCACCCCTCCACCACTAGCAAATTAGAATGACTGTTTAAAGGTGATAAGATCATATTAAAATTAAATTAAGCCGTGAAAGGACAAAACCCAAGTCCAAAAATGTGTCTTCTACTATCCCAGAAAACGAATAATAATAATTCCTTTTGAATTTCCAGAGTGCGACAATTTCAAAAACCCCTTTGGACGTTGAAATGAATATTACAGACATGTTAAAAGCATAGCTTTGCTCCTTAAAATTGAGTGGGGGCACGGGTCAAAACTCCATTTGTTTTGAGGAGAAGCTCCTCGTTGAATGCTGAAATGAAAAACTTGTACGCAAAGGGAGGAAACAAAGTCTAAAACTAAGCTCTGGGTCATAGAAAAGTTGCTGATCATAGTCCTACCATGCCACATGCCATATACAGGGCTTGAGTTCATTCAGTTGTCAGCTTCAACTTTTTTTTTCTCCTTTCCAATTCTAAGATTCTAACTGCACAAATCCTGCAATTGTTTCCAGGTAAAGTACACTCTAGCCTTCTATTCATTGGAATTTACTGCTTCTGACTATAAATATATGTACATGTAAAATTGAGACTGGACGCTCACGCTGCTAGCGTTTCATTCGCTTTCAACTTTGCACTTTAATAGCTTCGTTCCTTCTAGCTTTCTCACCTTCTCAAGCAGCTGATCGATGGTGTTAGACGCATCCTGCAGACAGAATACAATAAATAAATAAAATTATCTCAGAGAATAGACAAGTGAAGGTGCTAAAATGGTTGGCGAGAAATCCTCACTGTTAGACTTTTCCTCAGTCTTTCCTCCTCCTTTTCTCGCTCAGCCTTTTCTGCCACTAATATTTCAATTAAAGCTGATTGCTCTTTCTCCATCTCTTCTGTTTTTTGTTTTTCCTGCTGAAGCTGATTTTGAAGACAAGCCAAAAGCATGAGTATCAAAATTCAGTAAGTCATAATATAATCTACAACCAGAAAGCAACATATAACAAATGATGCAGCATGCCCTTCTACTGAATATCAAGTTTCATTTCTTCATAAGTCCTAGTGATCTAAATTTTATTTCAAGGCATCCAATTTGTGCCAATCAATAGTATATCTATAGCTTGTACAAAATATGCAAAGAAATTCAACAAGCCATGCAGTGGAATGATCTTGGTACTCTTTTAACGTTCATCAACAGTATATCATAAATATACAATAAATTAAACGCAAACACAAATTTAAGATAACTATTTAAAGCAACCGTGGTGCCCTTACTTCATTTTCAAGTGATTTACACCTAGCTTTCTCAGAACTGAGGTCCTTTAGCAATTTAAGCATTGTCGGACCACCAGTTTCCTTCAATCTGCAAAAAGAAAAGGAAACAGTCAAATGGTCGATTTTGGATATAAAGACTACTGGCACAGGCAAACAACATGGAAGCTTAATTTCATAGAACTGTTGACACCACCTTTTGATGGCTTCATGAGAATCTTTTTTCAACTTAGTTGAACACTCAACATTGCCAGCAGTAGAAACATGCTCCGCTCCTTTTGTAGTGGGTGTCTGTTAATGGGAGAGAATATAAGCAATACAGGTAGAAAAAATAAAAAGACAAAGAAGGAGTATATGGAAAACAAAAAAATACCGCACAAGTCAGTTGTTTTTTAGGTACAAGCACAAATCAGTTCTTTGATTATTGAGATGGATGGATTATGGAGTGGCTATTGACTCTTTCTTTGGTACCAAGAAATATAACATCATATACAGACAAACTATGGTTGATAAATAATTAGCAAGACAATTAGGCATATGAGCAGCTTGAGGTAGTGCTTAGCAAAAATTAGTGAACACAACAATCTATTAACTGTCTAATGCTTGACCGTTGATATAGAGTTATTACTACTAAAAGAGAAAACCAGATAGACTTAACCATTTATATAGAGAGCTGTTATTGGCACTCCAAAAAAGTTATCATGTACTTCTCCTTTATAAGAACGTAAGGGAGAAATTGCACATGGAGGAGTATAGGATGACTTTTTTGGAGTGCCAATATATCCACGACATTTATTTTTTCATTTGTGCCCAGCCCACCACAAAGTGAGAAGTAATGGGAAAAAAATGCCTTGGAGTGTGAATGCCTAAGCATTTGATGGCCCCTTGCGTCTGAAGCAGGGTCTTGCTGAGGTTCAATAGAAGCATATGATGCCTCATCTTCACTTGAAGCATCCGTAGGTGATGATCCCTTTTCAAGTTTCTTACTGGACATTGTCATAACTCCCCCAGTACTAGAACCATGGCAATTCTGCTTTGTGCCTGCGGATTTCTCTTGATTAGATGCTAAAGGTTCTCTTTCTGAAAAATCACTCAAACGTCTTCTTGGAGCATACCCAACAATCTGGCAATTTTTGGACCTAGGAAAAACAGATCACAGTAACTTAAATACATGTAACATCAAGTTAAGTGGCATGAAGGAAAAGAACAAACCAGAAATCTTTCTGCATTGCAACCAATCGTGCCTCAAGTCTTGAAAGAACAATTGTCCGCTCAAAGCCCTGTTTGTCGTGAGCTGGTTCAACAAAATTAGCTTCCAGCACACCTATTACAGAGAGATATGACAGGAGTGGGGTAACATAACATATCCATATTATGATTAGTCATTGCAACACCAAAAGAAAACACAATAAATGTTTTACAAAATACCTATAACTCCACGACCATCACTGCCAGCAGCATTCCAAACCCTCCAAAACGGCTGAAAAATAAAAAAAAATTTAGTTCAGGAAAAACATGACAAGAAGGTAGAATATACTGGTAATATTACAAGAACGAAGTCCTTCCTGTGCATTCTACCAAAACCAACGATGATATGGGACAAATTGAAGGCTTTATTATGCTACAAATTGATAATATCTCGACCATGGAATAAATGCTACAAATTGATAAAGAAGACACAGACAGCAAACCTTAATCAGTCGATTTTTATGATAAACATTGAACCCTTGGACATCAATATGAAATCGCGCATCCTTTACAAAACCAAGAGTGACATTGGCAATCATCTGTAAAAATAAAAGAAAAATCAGCATATTTGTAAACTTGAAAACAGAAAATAATGCTAATTCCAAGACTAAGTTTCGAAAGCATTACATTTACATCTTTTGGGATTCCCTCCGGAAGATGCAGAGGTCTGTATGTTACCTCCTTAGTTAACATCATGTCATTCACTATATTATGATGTTCAACATCTTTCCCACGGAGAATAATTCTGAAGTTATATGGAAGCTTGAGATAGAGAATTGATGCATAACTCTGGCAAAAATGAAAAAGATGGTATGGTTACTGATGTAAGACCATATGTTAAAATCTCTTCAAGAATTGCAGTTCTATCACAATGAATGCCAACATTCATTCATGTTGAATGATCTCTTCAAACATACCCGTAACGAATGTCTATAAGTTAAGAAGTGTCTAGAGTTGGGATATTGTTTTGCCATATGAATCTTCTTCTCATCCCTATTGACTCCTCTAATTTGAATGTCCTGTCATTTCAAACATGAAAGATAAGAACCCAAATCTGACAGTGCAGGTACCCTTTAAGTTTATAAGAATTCAGAGTCAAAATCTCACATGGGGATCAGTATCGAAATCAAGTTCCAGTTGTCCTTCATCATCTTCCCAAAGGTTGTAGATTACGATACGCGTACCATGCTCTTTAAAAAGCATAAACTACAGAGCACAACAAAGAAAGAGATAAATAACACTTTTTTCTTTGGTCACCTGAAGCATAGCTATGAAATGACAATGTGGTTTATCAAAAAAAGAAATATAGGCTATTTTATGGCCCAGTTGAAAGTAAAAGGAACAATACTAGTGACAGTTGTGCAAAAGATTTCGTGTTTCAAGAAAAAGCTTGAAGAACTAGAACTATGATAAGAAATTAGAATAAATAAAGGATTACAGATCAAACCGTACGAGTAAAATATACTACATCAACAGAAGCAACAAAACACTAAACTGGATCTCTCTCTCTCTCTCTCTCTCATAGTAAGATTATGCCACAAATATGAAAAAGCAAAAAAAGGAATTGGACCAGACGAGAAATGCAATGTTCAAAAATATAATTTGAAAATAAGAAGTAAGACTCACCTGCTGAAGAAGAACTTCTTCACTTAAATATGGAGACCACTGCACTATGGTCGCAAGGTTTCTCTCCCAATCATCTAGAGAACCCCGCACCATCCTGTTCCATCCTTGACCTCTTTTCTCGTAGTCAACCTTACCGTAAAATTGAATCATAGTTAAGAGAATAATTCAAAGGAATTCATGCAAAATAAATGTTTTGTGGTGGCAACTGGTCAATTTACATAACTTCTCCAATTTTCCTAGTGATAAGCTTCTCCTCTAAAATATTCATCGTCAATTAACTACAATGTCTTTTGTTAATCTTCTTCTGAAAAAACATCACAGCTTATGCTAACAATCAAATCCTTGAGTTCACAACACTCAAACAAACGAGAAAATAGTTCAGGAGATGTAAAGAGTTTGAGTCCTTTAATAATAATCTGTAAGAACTTTAAAGCTACTTTTAGTTGGATTTCTTTTGATTTAAGTAACAAAAAATACAAGTACAATACATAAGTCAAGAATGGTTGAAATTGTTGTTGCCATTATTTACCAAAAAAAAACAAAAAAGAAGAACAACTGTTCTTACCATGGGAACCACAATATCTTCCTTTCCAGTATCCCTCAAAAATGAATAGGATAGCATTCCAATGGTCTGTGTCGGGCTAAGAGAAAAGAAGAC